GAGAGGTGTCAGGCAAAGACAGAGCAGGAGTGGTAACGAGGGCAGCTTTAAGTTTGTGGAAGCCAGGGACTGTGCTGTGTGAAGGATTTCGGGGCTTATTTAGAGGGCCTTTAGCTGCTTCATAGAGGGTGTGGGCTAGGAGGGCAAAATTGGGAATTCATATTCTGAAAAAAACTTGCTAGTCCTAGGAAAGAAGGAATTTCACCTTTAGAGGTGGGTGGGAGCAGGCTGTCTATCGGTGCTGCTCGTGCTGGGGTTATGGCTTAGGCCCTGGGGGAGAGCTGGACTCCTAAGTACATCACATTGGAGTGGAGAGTTGCGCTTTGGAGGGGGAAAGCCTGTATCCCTTTATTAGCGAGAAAATCCAGAAGGGTAATAGTGTGAGTCTGAATGTCCTCTAGGGAAGGGCTACAGAGGAGGAGGTTGTCCACATACTGGAGGAGCTGGCTATGGGAGATGTTTAGGGAGGTGAGGTCTTGAGTTAGAGCTTGTCCAAAGAAATTGGGGGAGGACTGTCCAAGTAAGTTATTGTGACTGGAGGGTTTCAGGGTCAGTCCAAGTGAAAGCAAAGAGATTTTGGGAGTCAGGATGAAGAGGAGTGGTTAAAAAAAAAAGGCATCTTTTAGGTCTATTACAGTGTAATGGGTTGCATCTGGAGGGATGAGGGGACGTTCCATTACAGTGTAATGGGTTGCATCTGGAGGTATTAGGGGAAGGTCTATTACAGTGTAATGGGTTGCGTCTGGAGGGATGAGGGGATGTTCTATTACAGTGTAATGGGTTGCGTCTGGAGGGATGGGGGACGTTCTATTACAGTGTAATGGGTTGCGTCTGGAGGGATGGTGGACGTTCTATTACAGTGTAATGGGTTGCGTCTGGAGGGATGAGGGGTTGGAAACTACTGGATGGATGGGAAGGACCACCTGATTGATAGCCCGGAGATCTTGGACTAGCCGATATGAGCCATGGGGGGTATGGAGAATGAGTTGGCCGAAGGTGGCCTTGTGAGAGGAGTCTGTTTATGATGGGGTTGTAAGCATTTAGGTTAATGATATGGGACACTGAGAGACATGAGGAAATCTGGGGGATCTTTTAACTGGATTTTGATGGAATCATGGTGAGCTGCTAGAGAAAGGGTGGTGGTATCCCACACTATTGGATTAACAAAAGAAGCAGGGAATGGATATTGGGGAGAGGGGTCAAGGGCTGGCATGGTGGCAGAGAGGAGTAGGAGAGAATCTGGTTGTGGGAAACAGAAAAAGGTGATGGAAGCTTTGAATTTGGTTAGGAGGTCTCTGCCTAGGATGGGGGTAGGGCAACGAGGCATGATAAGGAAAGAGTGTGAGAAACCAATATTAAATAGGAAACAAGTAAGAGGTCTAGTGGTGTGTGGAAGTGAGATGAATCCATCAACCCCCACAACTGAGACCTGAGAGGAATGAGTGGGTCCTGAGAATTCAGGCAAAGCTGAGTAGGTAGCCATGGTATTGATTAAAAAAGAGATTGGCTTACCTGCTACTAGTAGAGTTACCCTGGGCTCCGATGCAGTGATGGCAGATGGGGCCGGAGGCTCTGGGCCTCGTCAGTCTTCAGTGGCTAGGCCAAGGAGCTGCAGAAGTGCAAATGATTCTTCACTTTGTCTTGCGGAATGGATGGTGGCTCTGAGGTGCAGGCTTTTCTGTCTGTCTGTTGATAGGACAGTCAGACTTCCAGTGGCCTGTCTGCTGGCATACTGGGCAAGGGCTTTTTGGCACTCGTGGATTAGGACATGCCCGTGCCCAGTGGCCTTGTTTGCCACACTTAAAACAAGGCCCAGGAGGGCCACTGCTATCGGGTCTTTGTGCCCTTGGGTAGGTACCATGGCTAGGCTGATAGATAGCCACAGATAGAAACTGGTATTTGCACATCTCTGGGCTTTTACTCTGCTCATCCCTTTTATTGAAGACTTTGAAAGCCAGGTTAAGGAGGTCTCATTGTGGGGTTTGAGGGCCATCTTCAGTCTTTTTAAGTTTGTGCTGGTTGTCAAGGGCAGAATGGGAGATAAAATGGGTATTAAGAACAAGAGTTCCTTCTCGGGAGCCAGGGTCGATGTGAGTATATTTTTGGAGAGCCTCTGTAAGGTGGGAAGGGAATTGGCCAGGGTTTTCATCTGCTTTTTGGGAAATTTCTTGGAGTTTTTCAAAATTTACAGCCTTATGGGCGGCTTTGTTAAGGCCTGCAATAAGGCAAGCAATCACATGGTTACAGAATGCCTGGCTGGGGTCTGTGGGTTGGTACTCCCAGGAAGGCTCTTCCTGGGGGATAGCGGTGGCTTTGACAGGCTTAGTAGGATCTTGCTGATGAAGATTGTCAGCATGTGCCTGGGCTGTGAGCCACACTCTTTCCTTCTCTTCCAGAAGGAGGGTAGAAGAGAGGATAATATAGAGATCATGCCAAGTGAGTTGCTAAGACTGGGTGAGATATTTAAATTCTTTGATATAAGTATTGGGATCAGAGGAGAAGGACCCAAGGCATTTTTCGATCTAGGAGAGCTTGGAGAGGGAGAATGAGATGTGGACATGGACAATTCCTTCAGCCCCTGCTACCTCCGGGAGGGGAAGCAAGGGAGTTGATTGCTGGGCATGTTGGACTTGGGAATGGGTAAGGGCTGGAGACAGGAAGGACTCAGAGTTAGAAGCAGGATGGTTGTGGGGGAAAGGGGTAGGGCTGGAGTGGGGCATATGTTAGGGGATCCTGACACTCCGGTGGGGGATCCTGACGCTCCGGTGGGGGATCCTGACGCGGTAGAGGAGGAGGAAAAAATTGGCGGGGTCAAAGAAAGAGGAGTTGTCAGCTGTGGCTGTGGCGAGTGTAGCAGAGATGAGTCCTCGGCAGGGCCGTAGGAAGAGTGACAGGAGCAAGGTTTGAAGAGTGACAGGTTTGGAGTGAACGAGGAAGATTTGGAAAGTAGAACAGGACTGGCAGAGGGAAAGATGGCTACAGAAGGTGAAGGAAGCCTGAACATAAGGAGTCTCAGACCATTTCCCAATGTGATGGCAAAAGTTGTCTAAGTCTCTAAGTATATTGAAATCAAAAGTGCCATTTTTGGGCCATTGGGAGCCATTGTCTAATTTGTATTGAAGCCAAGCGGTATTACAGTAAAAGATAAGCCTCTTAGGGTGTAATTCTGAATGGAGGCCGAGAGTATTGAGATTACACAGGAGACACCCACTTTTGGAAGGGGTAGACTAACAGGCTCCTGAAGCAGATGGAGGAGGGAGGTAGAGGAAGAAGAGACTGCCAATTGACAAGCATGGCAGGAGACGGCCTCCTTTGTCCTGTGGGCCCTGTCCAGAACAGAGGAGGTAGCTGCCAAGTCAGGCATCCCTGAAATGGAGGGACCAGAGGCCTGGAGGCTGGAGGAAGCCCTTGGCCCAGCACTAGGTCTTTCGGGAAGTCAGAGATGGTCAAGGGTTCTGGGTAAATAGCAAGAGTCTCCCTTGAGGTGACCAGCAGTGGGAGAGTCTGGGAGATCCTCTGGGTCTTCAGAAGGTTCAGGAAGGGGAGGGTTGGCTGGGAGAGAGGTGATAGGAGAGGGAGGGAGAGAGAAAGAGAAAGATAGAGACCCTTAAGAACACTGGGCCAGAGCCTACCCCTTCCCGGGTTTTGGCACCAATATGTAAGGTTAGCCAAGAGAAAGAAGAATACATCCAGAGTCAGACAAGAAATTTTATTAACCTGCCAGGCTGCCCCATAACAATCAGAGGAGGCAGCCCTGAACTTACAAAATGAGGGGTTTATTTGGGGTGAGAGGGGCATAAGAGAGTTTCAGGACTGAGATAATCTATCAGCTTGTAACAAGCACAGAGATAGTTTGTTAACTTGTGACAGACTTACAACACATTATCCTGTGACTTTTGTGGTGGCAGTTTAAAAAAAAAAAACAGGATTTTACTGGTTTGTGTAAAACAGGAATTTACAAGTATGATAACAAACATTTGTTTTCCGTGTCTTCCCCCGAGCTGCCCAGATGGCTAAATCATGCTTTGCTTAATTGTAGCACCTAGATAGGAGTTCAGGAATGCAGCTGCAAGGGAATCAGAGGGCGTCGGGGTCAGTTTTTGCAGAGGGAGTTTTCTGAGGCGGCTTGTCCCTAACAAGAGGTGCTTAAAATAAGGGCTTGTGTGCAGGTAACTTATTTGGGAAGTAGAAGCAAGAGATTGGGGAGAGTAAAACTAGGTAGATGAAGCCAGTACACATATGGACTTCCAAGTTGGTTTGGATTAGAAAGGGAGAGACAGACTAAATTGTGTTAAAAATATACATAGATTTTACTTTAAAATCCGACTTTCTGGGTTTACTGAAGAACCACAGGCTTCAGCAACAGGTTTGTGTTCTGGTATTGCAATAATTGCCTTGAGCTAATCAGTCATTGCCTTTTTAGAAGATGAAGGTGTTCTCTCTTCTGCCACAGTCCCCACCATACACTGTCATTTCCCAGCACAGAGCCTGAGTGCCAGGAACCTATCATCATTAGCCTTCTCCTTCCAAAATTGTGTATGTATTATCATTTGTCACCCCTGCCTTAAACAATGGAATACATTTGTGAGTTGCCAAAGCAATCTAGGACCGTTTACAGCCATGAGAACAGGAAGACCTTTTGGAGCTGGAATGCAAAGGGAACTTTAGCACTGGAGACCAACAGAGAGCACACTTTGTTAATATAGGTTTAAAGACACTTGACAATATCTGGGGATGAGGAGTAGACTCTCTAGAATAAACATCCTGGTTTTAGGTAACAGACACATATATCCAACCAGCAGCAGAACTTTTGCTAATGACCCCCAAATGGTGCACACCATGACCATTCATAGGCTTAAATATCTGCTATTCGGTGTTTTCTATCCAGATGTTCTGATCGGTTTGAGAAAATGCCTGTGTTTATAAATACTCGTGGATTTCATGGAAAAAGTTTTTTTTCTGACATGGTTTGTTAATTCTATTTAAATTTTATATTTTAGGTGAGTACAAAGCCCCTCTGGCAGCAGGCAGCTCCATCATTCCATTTGAGTGTAAAGCAGGATGATGAGATTCCAGAACCATTTAGTGTTAAAAATGAACAGTCCTATGGTAAGAACTTCAATATTCTAAATCAGACTTAGGGATAATTTCTATATAGAGAGAAACCAGACAATATTTAGTTAATTGTGTAGTAGAATTATAAAACCTAAATGACATTCATGTCAAGTAGAAAAAAATTTCTGAAACATCTTCCCTCAGAAAATAATTGATTCTAGTTCTTAGTTATTTTAGGCTGTTGTAAATGGTGTAAGAGCTGATATTTTAGGAATTGGGATGTTTATACTAAAACTTTTATCTATTGTGGTCAGAATTTGCCTCTACATCAAAGACTAAGAATATTTTTCTAGGATGTATTTTAATAAATTATATTTCTTTTTCTTTTTTGTGGATTTTAATAAATTGTAAACATTACTTTCAAATTAGTCATTTTAATGTTTTTATTATTTTGACTCATTAAATATAGTGTTTATCAGATTGATTACAGTTAATATTAACTTTTTTGTCATGGTTCTTTAAAGTTTCACAAGTAGTTTTGTATCCTGTTTACATAATTCTAATTTTCACTTTTAGAGAATTCTATGTGTATATATAATAGAAAATTTTATTAGTATATTAATCAAGATATAAATCAGTGGAATATTCTTGAAATAGACATTTCTAGTTATGATACAAAAGAGGAGTAGTTTAACTTCCTGATAGTAAAAAAAATTTAGGATTACTCGAAAATGTAGTTTTTTTCTTGAAAAGTGATTTAGCATCTTATTCTAAGCATGTAAAATGTTTTAGCTTAACTTTTAGATGAATAATTGTGTGTGTGTGTGTGTCTTTTTTTAATTTAAGCTGAATACATGGAACGTTTTGGAAAAAAGGGCACATTACCCCACCAAGTTGATGATAGTTATTCTGGACCGTCTACTTCCAAATCAAAGGGCAAATCTCCACATAAAGAACGAGAAAACTTTAGAAGCACTCTTGTTAATATCCTTATGTAAGTTCTGTAAGCTAACAAGTGTGTGTTATCCACATTAAAGCCCCAGCAACCTTTAACCTAAGAATATTAGAATTCTATGTGTCTCTAACGGTGCCTCAAAGGCTTGTTGGAATGATGTCAGAGTATAAGTAAAAGATGAAAGAGATTGAATTTAACCCTATGAAGTATGTTCCACTTTTATTTTATTTTTTAGAGATGGAATTTCGCTCTTGTTGCCCAGGCTGGAGTGCAATGACATGATCTTGGCTCACTGCAACCTCTGCCTCCTGGTTCAAGCGATTCTCCTGCCTCAGCCTCCTGAGTAGCTAGGATTACAGGCGTGCGCCACCACACCCAGCTAATTTTGCATTTTTAGTAGAGATGGGGTTTCACCATGTTGGCCAAGCTGGTCTCGAACTCCTGACCTCAGGTGATTTACCTGCCTCAGCCTCCTAAAGTGCTGGGATTACAGGCGTGAGCCACCACGCCCAGCTGTGTGTTCCACTTTTAAATATCCTGAGTTGCAAAGGTATCAGTGTTAGTACTTGATGTTGGCTGAGTGAGTGGAATTTCTGGAAGTTCTTGTTATAGCCATGGTAGCCAGTGGGGGATTCTAGCAGGTTTCTTTTTTCCCCTCATCTCATCTGCTCAGGTTGATGGGGTGACTTCTCTGGCATTGTGATTCTCCTTGTACAGAAAAGGAATTGGGGTGAAATGGTTGGCAGTATGCACAGTGCCTGGTCTTGTCTCACTGTTTCAGGACAGTCCACAGGGAGCAAGGCAGATGCGAGTCACCAGTTCCTCTTTGCTTTGTTTCTGCACAGCTTTGTGTTAGTTGCTTATTATTTGCTTTAGTTTCATCATGATTCTTAGGGTATACACCATTTGTGGGACAAATGGGGTTTTATGACCCATTAGATTTTCTATGTGATTATTGTTTAATATTTTAGTTCCACCAAGTCCTTAAATACCCATACTCTCTTTTTTCAAATGTTAACACTTACTTGGAATTATTAACATGTTTTCTAATTTTTTATAAAGTTGCTTTTAGATTCCACTCCTCATTTCTGGGGTCATTGTTTTTTTTGCTGAAGATTATCTCTTAGTAGTTTGCTCTTTCTTTCCACCTGCCCTTCTTTCCATCTTTCTCTTCCCTCCCTCCTTCCTTCTTTGCTTCCTTCTTTCT